AACCCATCCTCCCACCCTCTCCCCTCTAGAACCCTCAGTTTGTTTTTCAGAGTCCATCGTCTCTCATGGTTCGTCTCCCCCTCCAATATCCCCCCCTTCATTCTTCTCTTCCTGCTATCTTCTTCTTCTTCTTTTTTTAACATATAATGTATTATTTGTTTCAGAGGTACAGATCTGTGATTCAACAGTCTTGCACAATTCACAGTGCTCACCATAGCACATACCCTCCCCAATGTCTATCACCCAGCCACCCCATCCCTCCCACCCCCCACCACTCCAGCAACCCTCAGTTTGTTTCCTGAGATTAAGAATTCCTCATATCAGTGAGATCATATGATACATGTCTTTCTCTGATTGACTTATTTCGCTCAGCATAACACCCTCCAGTTCCATCTATGTCATTGCAAATGGCAAGATCTCATTCCTTTTGATGGCTACATAATATTCCATTGTATATATATACCACTTCTTCTTTATCCATTCATCTATCAATGGACATCTTGGCTCTTTCCACAGTTTGGCTATTGTGGACATTGCTGCTATAAACATCGGAGTGCACGTACCCCTTTGGATCCCTACATTTGTATCTTTGGGGTGGCAGCGCTGTCTTCTTGATCCCACTCCTTGATTCGTGGGCTCCAGCCACATGGAGGGGATTGATTTCATATTTATATCGCCAGTGGCAGCCTCAGAGGTGGATCAGTTTTACATTGTTCTGGGAGTCATTCCTGGAGGCTCATCTTAGAACCTGCTTCTTTAGCTCATCCTTCAATTCTGTAAACTTTTGAATTTCCTGCACTAAAGCCCTTCCTGCTCAAAATACCTAGAGTGTTTTATACGTGAGGCGTGGAACCTTGACTGTTAGATCCTTCAAGCGGTTTATATTAAACTGGCTCCTGAACCAAGGCCTATTCCTAGAATCTTAATCTTAGGTTTGACATGAAAATGAGGATGGAAATAGGGTCCCTTTCAAAGAAGAGACCATGCACATGTGGGAACTAAGTGCCACGATTGTGGCATTGACTTTTCGCTAGACCACATGTTCCCTGCTATGCATGTCACCACTGTTGTATAGAGGATTTAGGTCACTGGAGATTGTAGGCACAGCCGGGCTCCCCCAACCCCCACTTGCCCTTTAGCTTTCTTGGGGTTAGAAGGCAGATGAGGATAGCTTCAATAGGTGAGGGGTATGTGTGTTTGCTGGTTGCCTGGGTCTTCCTTAATCGTTGAAATAGATCAGTGAGGATAATGTAGTCATCTTTCCTAGCGGGGTATGTGGTTTTGTGTGGGAATAATTCAACTGGTAATGGGAAGGCGGAAGTGTTGTTTTGTGTTGAAATACTCATTTCTCCCATAACTGTTGAGTAAATGTAGCCATTAGTGTATGCATACAATCTTCCTTAATCCTCTGAGTATTCCAGCAGCAGGTAGACACTTCCTGCTGAGAAGCATTTGAATGCTTTAGATATACTTGATATATACATAAAAGCCTTTAGATATACTTGAAGGCAGTGTTAGCTTCTCTTGCCTATCCACAGAGCTAATACTTAAACCCTTTCATTAGCTTCATAGCCTTTTTCTGGGACTCTTTTGAAGTACTCTAAGTCCTCAATTATAAAGCTGCTCAAGAATGAAAAGCAAAGTCACCATAAAAGTTAAAGTAAAGTATTAATTAAACTATGGAACCCAACTGCCTTTTATAGCATTGTTTCTATGGGAAAGTGTATTCTGAGTTTCATTTCTGGATGCCTGGAGAGCTGTAACCTAAGGGGTTGAGAATGTAAAGCGACTGGTGCTGACAACGAGGTGGTGGCTGTTTATGTGCTTGGCCATCTGCAGCTGGGTATTCACAGCTTGGTACACCTCTTCCGACTGGCTTCCCAAATCCACTCTTGCCATCCTTCACTTCATTCTTGACATAGGCAGCCAGACTGAGCTTTAAAAATGCAAGTGTGATTATGCCACTCCTCTTCTTAAAATCCTTGAATGGCTTCTAATTGCTATTAGGATAAGATCCTTAACATGGCCTATGAATTGATCTGGCCCCTGTCCAGCTCTTCAGCCGCATCTTGATCTGTTCTTCTCTGTCCCTGTGCTTTAGCCATATTGGTCTCCTTTTAGTTAGTTCTAATGGTCTAAGCTCTCTCCCACTATAGTTTCTTCATATGTGCTTTTCCTTTCTCTTCACCTGGCCAACTGCCACTCATCCTTCAGATCTTCAACCTAAATGTGACTTTCTCAGAAAAAAATGTTTTTGTACTCAAGGCATCATGTAGTTTTGCTTTATAACACTTATTACAGGTTAAAATTCAATTTGTTTAATGTCTCTCTTCCTGGAGAGACTGTAACCTCTATTAGGCAGGGGCCATGTCTGCCTTATTTTTTTTTTTCCTTCTGACACCTACTAAGTGTTGAATAATAGTTTCTGAATGAATAACCAGATTTCACTTGCATATATGACTATTTTCTTTCCCCATTTAGACTTCAAATTGCCTGAAGGCAGGGGCCATATTTTTACTCATTTTTATAGGGTCTAAATTGTCTAACACAGGGCTTTGCAAATAGTGAACCTCAGTAAAGAATTGCTGGTTAATTAATTGACCTGTCAAGCTCAGATGAATTACTTAAGGTGTGGAAAAATAAGGAAAAGGTCAGGATGAAATATATTGGGGCATTCTAATGACAGAGTGCAGTCTGGTGTTTCAAAGAACCATGATATATTGGTCCCTGCTTATGTCCAGTATCAGCAATCTAGTAGATTATGCCCTATATCGAGCCCTCTATTTTCAACCTGATTGCTTGTTTAACTGATGGTTTTTGTCTCCACTAAGTGTTTGGTTAGCATGGGTAAAGGTCTTTGACCTAGGTTAGTAACAGCTGCTAATTGTCTTTCCTCTTTTGTTTCTGAAAGTAATTGGTATTTTTCATCAACTTGTTGAGATGCCGAGGAGCACCTGTAATAGGTAGCTGATCAGACACATTGTGATGATGGAAATCAGATGTCTCAGGTTTTATCTTTTAAGTTATTGATTTTGGATGGGAGCTGGTTTTCATGGCTACAGACCATACTTACTATCTCCACAGTTATCCATCTTTAATTCTTCCTGTTGGAAGAAGGCAGGGCAGAATCCTGTGCCTCTTGTTCAGAAGGTCACAAACAAATTCTCCTATGCCTACTGATGCTGACTTGAATTAGTAAAGTTCTACTCTTCTCCCCCTCTCCCTTCTACATTAAAAAAAATCTCCCCTGTGCTGTGAAGAAAGGCAGGGAAGCCAAAAATAATGGGAATAGATTTTGCATCTTCTCTTGCCCTGTCTGAATGATCATCATTATTGCCTTCATTTTCAATGCCATCTTGGCATATTGTACTTTATGTTTATTTCAAATGATTCTCTTCCAATCATTGTGCAATTTATTTAGCTGAGGAATCGTGGGCTCACTGAAGTCAAGTATCTTAGCTAAAAGCTCGTATGGCCAGATAATGAGTGAAACTGGATATATTTTCCAGGACTTTTCTGGTTGTAAAGAAGAAAAACCCATTGTATAACTACAAGCTTAAGAAAAAAGGAATATATTTCAAAGAGAGTGGAGTAGTTTACAGACTGAAAGAGATACAGGAACAGGTCAACTCTGGAGACTTTCAGAAGTGGGAATAGAAATGTGAAGCCAGCAGGAATTTCTTAGTCCTTATAGCTTCTTTTGGGGTATTGATACGATAGGGTCACACTTCCCCATGTAGTAGGGACATGAGTGTCACTAGGGCTCTCACGTATTGGATGCAGTGTACAATTGTGCTCCATCCAAGGGTTGTGGTCATACCGCAGACATCTTAACATTTGCATGTTCATTGTGGCAGATTTCCAGCAGATGGCACTCAAGTGTCTTTTCTAACAAAAATCAGTAAAATGATTTGAGGGAGGTAATTTTTCTGTTTGCACAAGAGTGCCTTTGTGGGTACTGAGAACCTCGTCTTCCAGCAGCTCTGAGATTATGCTCTTCCTGATTAAAACCAAAGAAGAAAGAGAAATCATCCCCTCAAGCTCCAGCAGAAAGAACCTAGACAGTAACTTTGATGGATCTGGCTTGGGTTCCATCGTGGATTGATTTCTATGGTTGGGAGTAAGGTTTCATGATTGACCCTGCAGACAGCACAGTCTTCCCATGGCTCCCTAGTGTATATACATCCACATACACTCTTCTTTCAATATATAAAATCCCAACTGCTGTTTACATAAAGTAGTGAATCCATGTGTAATCATGAATATACTCACTCCTCCTTCAAGTATGGTATTTCAAAGTATCATCAACTACTGCATCTTTGGAAGAAATGCCTTTGTCTCAGGTCGGATACTTCAAGATTTCAAATCTTGTGGGCAGTGGACTAGTTTAACCGTTCCTAACCTATCCAAGACACAGCAATACAGGAAAAAGAGAGTAGCTAAAATAAAAATTCCTATTTGAAAAGAGGAAGAAGGATAAGCAACATAAGTGGGACAACTCCAGAGAACTCCATACTCCATTCAATGGGACCAGTGAAGCATATTTATTTTTGGCTCAGTGTCCTGGTTACTGTTAGATCTTTGGCATTCTGTCTCCACAAAGCTTTGCCTTGATCATTTCTCTTCATGGCCACAGTGGACAGGGAGACAGCTCATGGGAGGCTATATTCTTCCAGAAGCCCAGTTGCTGTCATTATGGTTATAGGGACCCAGGAATTGTTTTAGAAATGAAACAATTACAGTGTTCTAATTTAGGAGTTTCTTCAGCAAAACACCTCTTTTAAAGGGCCAGTTGGCTGTCAATGTTGAGTTCATGTTGATGAGATCTGTTGATTTATAACCAACCAGAAATCTTGCTGAGTCATAATATTTGACCCTAGGCCGTGTCTTTGAAATTTATATTCTTTAGAAACATAACAACCTTATATAGTAGGTAGATGGCCCAGTAGTCTAAATGGAAAAGACACTGCCAATTTTCCTTGCTGATGCCATCCTTCCAGGTTTGGAACAATAGTCACTTTCCGCCCAAATGATGCTTTTGATGAATGTGGTCCCTGGATATTCAGCTGGGATGGTGATCTACAGAGACAGCAAATAAAGTGGCTGTTCCTTTGAGGAACAAGAAGAAAGTCTCTTCTCTTCAACACGACAGCCTCTGATTCAGTGTGAGAAGGATGGAAGGGGCTGAGGATGTTTAGTGTACTAAAGAGAAACTGTCTGGTAGACATGTGATCTGCTTATATTTGAAATGCTGTTATTTAGAGGGGGTTTGTTCTTTCTTTATCTAAAGAGTATGAGTTAAAGAGGACTGGATTAGGAGCTTTTCATAGACTGACTTGCAGACGTGGAAAGCTCTTCATCCAGGGAATAGACTGCCTCAGCTTCCTGACTTTGAAGATGTTTAAACAGACGCTAAATGACTACACGCCTCAGTGCCGCAGGATGCCTCCTGTGTGTGGAATCAGGTTAGACTAATGACTTCTGGGGTCCCTCCCCATGCTGAGATCTAATGGTCTTTCAGTGCCTTCTCTCCTCTCCTACTTGTATCTACTGCTCAAGGTCTGGAGGAGCATTTGGAGAAAAGGATGAAATGCTTCAGACTTCCACAGTTGCCAGGCTTCTTAGCTTTGTTAAAGGCAGAACAACTTGGAGAAGTCTTGGCTATGTGATGCTAGAAGAAGCTTTTAAGGAACTGGTGATCCAAGGGCTGTTGTCTTCATATTAAAATGATGCTTTAAGATCACAGAATTTTGAGAAGATTCATGTCAGCCTGCACCATAGGCTGGCTGGTTCCACCTGAGTCCATTTTTATATAAACTTTTAATAGTTGAAGTATATATATGGGATGTGTTTACAAGTCCTAAGTGTACAGCTTGATAAAGTATCACAAAGTGAACAAAGTTTTAATTATAGAAATTACTTATATTTATAGGTACACTTATAATTACTTATAATTACCATGTAGATCAAGAAATATATTACCCAGGAATAGAACTGCACCCCAAAAGCTCCCACCGTTCCCACCTGTGTTCTTTCCTGGTCTCTAGCCCATCATCTTGTCCCCAGAGGTAACCCATATCCTGATTGCTAACATTATAGGTAGCTTTTGCCTGTTTTGAGTTTTATATATTCACACCACCAGCATATAAGCATCCTAATTGCTACACATTCTTTATATTTTTTATGGCACTTGGTATTATTATGTCTTTTTACCTTAGCCACTTTGGTGTACTGATGTCCTACCACTTTTAAAATTTGCTTTTCCCCAGTAACTCAAAATTGAACACTTTTGCTAATATTTGTTGGCAATTCACATATCCTCATTTAAAAAGTACCTGTTCATATCTTTTGCTCAGTTTTCAACTGGTTTGTCTGCATTTTTTTCTTTGACGTGTAGATATTCTTTCTGTTTCTGCCTATGGTACGAGATAGGGGTCAGATCTTCTGCCAACACACCCCATAAAAATATCTAAGCATCTCAGCAACATTACTGAAAGTAAAAAATGTTCCCTGCTACTCTGCAGTGCCACCCTTGACAAGTCAGTTCTCCACAAAACTGTGGGCCTGTTTCTGGACTTTCTCTTCTGCTTCAATGATCTATTTATTTATTCTGTCTTAATTACTACAGCTTCATAACTCTTGCTATAACTCCAGTTTTGATCTTCTTCAAGATTGTCTTGGTTATTCTTCGCCTTTTGCATTTCCACATAAAATTTTGAATCCAGTTGTCAATTTCTATAATTAAAAAAAATCCTGCTGGGATTTGGAAACAACTGACATCTTTACACCCTTAACTCTTCCAATCTATGTTGGATAGGTTTCTATATAGAGGTCTTACACATCTTCCAGTGGATTAATTCCTAGGTTTTTAAGTTTTTTAAAATGCAGATATCATTTGAAATATTATTTTCTATTTGCTGGTACATAGAATTAATATTGCAATTAATTTTTATATTAATCTTTTATCTAGGTAACTTGGTAAGTACACTTATTAATTATAGTAGATTTTCTGTAGGTTCTTTTGCATTTTCTGTCTACACATAATAATATCTGCAAATAGTGACAGCAATTTTTTTTCTTTTTTTAGTCCTTTTACCATTCATTTCTTTTTTCTGTTTTTATTGAAGTATAATTAACATACAGTGTTATATTAGTATTAATTGTACATATAATGATTCAACATTTCTATATGTTTCTCAGTGCTCATCATGGTAAATGTACTCTTAATCCTCTATTTCACTCATCTCCCCACCAACCTTCCCTCTGGCAGCCAGCAATTTGTTCTCTATTTACGAGTTTGTTTTTTAAAAAAAAAAGAAGAAGAAGATAGCAGGAGGGGAAGGATGAAGGGGGGGAAATCGGAGGAGGAGACGAACCATGAGAGATGATGGACTCTGAAAAACAAACTGAGGGTTCTAGAGGGGAGGGGGGTGGGAGGATGGGTTAGCCTGGTGATGGGTATTAAAGAGGGCACATTCTGCATGGAGCACTGGGTGTTATGCACAAACAATGAATCATGGAACACTACATCAAAAACTAATGATGTAATGTATGGTGATTAACATAACAATAAAAAATTTAAAAAAAAGAGTTTGTTTTTTTGTCTCCTTTTTTTCTTTGTTTTGTTTCTTAAACTCTACATACGAGTGAAATTATATGGTATTTGTCTTTCTCTGAATGCTTTATTTCACTTAGCATTATACCCTCTAGTTTCATCCATGTTATTACAAATGGCAAGATTTTTTTTTTTTCAAATTTTTATTTAAATTCTAGCTAGTTAACATACAGTACAATGTTGGTTTCAGGAGTAGAATTCAGTGATTAACGGTACTTGTCTAGTAAGAAGTTGCTACAGCTGGGTAAAGGAGTAGGATTTTGATAGATTCCTGTCTCACCTGTAGGTCTGTCTTCCATTTTGAATTTATTTTTGTGTGTGGTGTAAGAAAGTAGTCCAGTTTCACTGTACTCATTACTTGTACTCATTACAAGTGCCCTTCTTAATACCCATCACCCATCTAGTCCATCCCCCACCTACCTGCCTCTATCGCCCCTCAGATTATTCTCTATCTTTAAGAGTCTCTTGTTTGTTTTCCTCTTTTTCTTTTTTCCCCCTCCCATATGTTCATCTGTTTTGTTTCTTCTTTTTCCCCATAAGAAGCATCTGAACAGTTAATTAGGGTGGGAGATGTTTTTTAAAAAAATTATTTTTTTAAATTTTGATTTAAAAAAAATTAAATTCAGTTAATTAACATATAGTGTATTATTAATTTCAGAGGTAGAGTTCAGTGATTCGTCAGTTGTATATAACACCCAGTGCTCATTACATCTTTTTTTTTTTTTTAAGATTTTATTTATTTATTTGAGACAGAGAGAATGAGAGAGACAGAGAGCACATGAGAGGGGGGAGGGTCAGAGGGAGAAGCAGGCTCCCTGCCGAGCAGGGAGCCCGATGCGGGACTCGATCCAGGGACCCCAGGAGCATGACCTGAGCCGAAGGCAGTCGCTTAACCAACTGAGCCACCCAGGCGCCCCGTGCTCATTACATCTTGTACCCTCCTTAATGCCCATCACCCACTTACCCCATCCCTCCCCCCCCAGCAACCCTCAGTTTGTTTCCTATGGTTAAGAGTCTCTTATGGTTTGTCTCCCTCTCTGATTTCATCTTGTCTTATTTTTCCCTCCCTTCCCCTATGCTCATCTGTTTTGTTTCTTAAATTCCACATATGAGTGAAATCATATGGTATTTGTCTCTCTCTGACTGACTTATTTCGCTTAGCATAATACCCTCTAGTTCCATCCATGTCATTGCAAATGGCAAGATTTCATTTCTTTGATGGCTGAGTAGTATTTCATTGTATATATATATATATATACACCACATCTTCTTTACCCATTCATCTGTCGATGGACATCTGGGTTCTTTCCATAGTTTGGCTATTGTTGATAATGCTGCTATGAATATGGGGTCCATGTACCCCTTTGCATCCATATTTTTTGTATCCTTTGGGTAAATACCTAGTAGTGAAAATACTGGCTCATAGAGTAGTTCTATTTTTAACTTTTTGAGGAACCCCCATACTGTTTTCCAGAGTGGTTGCCCCAGTTAGCATTACCACCAACAGTGCAAGAGGGTTCCCTTTTCTCTGCATCCTCCCCAACATCTGTTGTTTCCTGTGTTGTTAATTTTAGCCATTCTGACAGGCGTAAGGTGATATCTCATCATGGTTTTGATTTGTATTTCCCTGATGATGAGTGATATTGAGCATCTTTTCATGTGTCTGTTAGCCATCTGGATATCTTCTTTGGAAAAGTGTCTTTTCATGGCTTCTGCCCATTTCTTAACTGATTTTTTTGTTTTTTGGGTGTTGAGTTTGATAAGTTCTTTATAGATTTTTGGATACTAACTCTTTATCAGATATATCATTTGCAAATATCTTCTTCCATTCTGTTGGCTTCCTTTTAACTTTGCTGATTGTTTCCTTCACTGTTCAAAAGCTTTTTATCTTGATCAAGTCCCTATAGTTCATTTTTGCTTTTATTTCCCTTACCTCTGGAGACTTGTCTAGTAAGAAGTTGCTACAGATGGGTAAAGGAGTAGGATTTTGATAGATTCCTGTCTCACCTGTAGGTCTTTCTTCCATTTTGAATTTATTTTTGTGTGTGGTGTAAGAAAGTAGTCCAGTTTCATTCTTCTGCATGTGGCTGTCCAGTTTTCCCAGCACCATTTGTTGAAGAGAAGGTCTTTTTTCCATCAGATATTCTTTCCTGCTTTGTCGGGTCCATTTCTGGGTTTTCTGTTGTCTTCTATTGATCTATACGTCTGTTTTTGGGCCAGTAGCATACTGTCTTCATGACTACAGCTTTGTAATGTAGCTTAAAATCTGGAATTGTGATGCCTCCAGTTTTGTTTTTATTTTTCAGGATTGCTTTGGCTATTTGGGGTCTTTTGTGGTTCCATATAAATTTTAGGATTCTTTGTTCTAGCTCTGTGAAAAATGCTGGTGGTATTTTGATAGGGATCGCATTAAATGTGTAGATTGCTTTGGGTAGTATAGACATTTTAACAGTGTTTGTACTTCCAATTCATGAGCACGGAATGCTTTTCCAACAAATCGCAAGATTTCATTCTTTTTTTATGATTGAGTAATACTCCATTGTATATCTATATACCTCATCTTCTTTATGCATTCACCTATGAATGGACACTTGGGCTTGGGCTGCTTCCATATCTTGGCTATTGTACATAATGCTGTGATAAACATAAGGGTTCATATATCTTTTCAAATTAGTGTTTTTGTTTTCTTTGGGTAAATACCCAGTAATGGAATTACTGGATCATATATTAATTCTATTTTTAATTTTATGAGGAACCTCAGCACTATTATCCACAGTGGCTGCACCAATTTGCATTCCCACCAACAGCGCACAAGGGTTCCTTTTTCTCCACATCTTCACCAACACTTTTTATTTCTTGTGTTTTTAATGTTAGCTATTCTGACAGGTATAAAGATGATATTTTATCCTACCAAATGGGAAAGATATTTGCAAATGATATATCTGATAAGAGGTTAATATCCAAAATATTTAAAGAAGTTATACAACTCAACACCAGAAAAACAAATAGTCTGATTAAAAAATGAGCAGAGGACCTGAATAGACATTTTTCCAAAGAAGACATACAGACACATGAAAAGATGCTCAACATCACTAATCATCAGGGAAATGCAAATTAAAACCACCATGAGATTATCACTTATTTCCTTCTTCCCTCCCTCCCTTCCTCACTCCCTTCCTTTCTTTCTTTCTTCCTTCCTTTCTCCGGATAGAATCTCTAAATATAAGTAGTGATAGGAGTCTTTCTTTTCTTATTTCCAATCTTAGAGGGAAGCCTTCAACATTTCACCATTAAGTGTGAATATTTGCAGTAGGTTTTTGATTCCTTTCTTTCTTCCTTTTTTTTGGTAGATACCCTGATATCAGTTTAAGGAGGTTCTATTTATAGTTTGCTGAACCAAGGTCTTCTGACTCCAGCCTCTAAAATCTTAGTTTTTTTTTTTAAGGATTTTATTTATTTATTTGACACAGAGAGACACAGCGAGAGAGGGAACACAAGCAGGGGGAATGGGAGAGGGAGAAGCAGACTTCCCGCTGAGCAGTGAGCCCGATGCAGGGCTTGATCCCAGGACGCTGGGATCATGACCTGAGCCGAAGGCAGATGCCTAACGACTGAGCCACCCAGGTGCCCCTAAAATCTTAGTTTTGACTTTTATACAACTTTCATTTATCTGTTGTAAACATATTTGGCATTTGACAAGTTTCAGTATTTGCATTTTTGGAGAGAGTGGGGGAGCATCAACACTTGTACCTCCGGATATTGCCTGCTATTGGTATTATGGGAGCATGTCCAGTGTGTCTGATGGAGTTTATTCAATCCTGCTCCCTCTCTCACTTTTGCCTATTCATGTTCCAAAAGTAAGTTCCAACTTCCCAAAGCTTCTTTGACTAAATTTGATATTTGTATTAATATCAAATTAATTTCTTTTTCATCATTTTATTGCTAGAGATGTTCAGGTGCAAGGAAATGGAGAAGATTCTCCTGGGTCAAAGAATAGGTGGGTACAGAGTTGACACTTCCAGGCAATGGTCCTGACTCTCTATCCAGTACTACCTCAAAGCTGAGACATTGTCCCTCTTAAGCCTGCTAATTGTTTTTGCTTTTTATTTATTAAATAACAATCTTATAACAGCACTAAATCCAACTTTAAAAAGAGAAAGAAAACAATCCATAGTTTCTCCATGGAACAGTTGCCTCTCTTAATTTTTGTATATTTCTCACCACTCTTTCATGATACACTTGTTAAGTTGATGTGCTTTAGAAATGATAACCCTTTGGACAAACTAAAAGTTATGGAATGTGGGATTTGTTAGAAAATTTAAACTCTGTTTTTTTTTTTCTTGGAAAAATCATAGTGTTGATAGCTATTGGACTTTTCATAGGCTTCTTTCTATTTTGATGAAGTGGTTGTGGTGTAAATTATTTTATCTTGGTTTTACTCTGGGGCTTTTAGAATTAGATTTTGCTGTAGTCAGCTTTGATTTAACGCTTGTATGCATTACAGGTATTAGAAAAAAAATCCCATTTGCCCAAAAGTCTTTGGAGCACCAGCAAACTAATTAAAGCTACCCAGCTCAGTAAATCCATTTTCGATTATCAGTAACACAGTGAGTTCTTTCTGTAAGCTCAAATTTGCTCAGTACTTGAGGAAAAAACCCAATCTGTCATATATAGTGTTGTTCACTCAGTGTACCTGTAGATTTAGACGTTTTTCACTTCCAATGATTAAATCTAAGTCATTTGAAAAAAAAAAAAAAAAAGAA